TACAGAGCATTGTACATCAACACAATGGAAAGAGGCATTTGTGGGTGTTGAGTAGACTTTTGATAATCTAATGCTTTAACAAAGCACTCCAAGCTGTCAGACTATTTAGCCACCAAGGATACCTGAGTTTGATGTAGGACCATAATTTGTTGGGAAGGGATTTCATTAAGGGCCAAGCATAATTGACTCAGGCTTTAAGGACACATTTTCCCTTCTGGTTTGACCATCTAAAGGAAACTTAATCTTAGAATGAAGTTCAGCTCAGAAAGTTTTGCCTCCCTGTGAAAACCAGTTGCCCTCCTACTGAAAACATTAATGAAACCCCTACATGGGACACTTTCAAAAACAGACATAAAAGGTCAACAATTCATTGTCTTTCAACTGTTAGTTTCAATCCAAAATTGATGCCAGGGAAGGTAAAGATCAGAGAAAACAAAGATCAATTTTACAATGGAGGGGGAAAGTTCTATAAAATGTGATGGATGCAGTACTCTAAAGAGTGACCAAGAAATTTATGTACAATTATATGCAACGTACATATAAACAACATACCCAAGGTGGATCATTGGACCTTCTGGGCCAATAGGAAGTCCTGCGCCAACTGCAAAAACACAGGAGAACAACTTGACTACCATGGTCTTGACATTGAAGATGTGTCGCACCACTGTGCCATTCAGGAAACCAATCAGTTCAGGGATACCAGAACCTCCCGCAGAAGGACGATAGTACTGTAAGTTATAACACAAAGAAATCATACAACTTTCATCACTTACAAATAACCAAATCTTTGGTGATTTTTTTGTTCTCATGTTACTCCATTAGGATACAAAGTAACTCCTAGGAATGACAAAAATTTAAAAGAATTTAACTCTTTAACCCTTAAAAGTGACTAACATCTTATTTCTTGATATCAAACCTTTTTCTCAAAGATGAAATTACAAGAAATTTATGGCAGACAGAACATATTAAAAGAATTGATATCTATATCTTGAGAGTAAAAGAGTCAAATAGAATAATTTTAAGCCTTATACCCACCACAACTGGAACAGAACTTGCTATGACAAAAAGTACACTGTAACCAATGACCCATATCCAAGCCAAGCCGAAGTCATGATCCTGTAGAGAAAGAACTGATTTGTTTCATTGCCATATAAATGAAAAGAATCACTAATTATTTAAAAATGTTTCAAGGGTAGATTTTTTTAATGCCCCTCCCTGATCAAATAATTTTTTTTGTTTTTACCTAAGTTACCTTAGTTAACAGTTTTGAGTGTTCTACCTAGTGAACATTAAAAGAAACAAGTGCAGTAACTTTTACTCACATACCTCTATGAACTCAGCTGCTTTGTCCCATTTCACTCTGTTGAAAAATAAAAAAAGCTATCAAATGCATATCAACTTTATACACCAAATTGAAATATGGCATCCAATTTAAATTGCCATTGTTCTGGACTTTCTAGCCTCCCACACATGTGATAATCCTTTTATGTTTTCACATGAAGATGAGACTTGTACGTCCAGAACAATGACAATTCAAATTGGACGCCATTATCTTGATTGCAGGGTATAGGTCATACACTATCATTCAACAATTGTTATATCAGTAAAGAGATTTGCACAATAGCTATGGAGCTCTCATTACAGGTCACTTGGAAACCTTTACCTTACTACCTTGCCAATGATAGACATTGCCTTGCATGCACCAAGGTCTAGGTCAAGCATCACATCATGATTTCACTTGCATTCATTCTGTCATTTTGTGCACCGTAAGGACAACACATTTGCTTGTCATTCAATGAAAGATGTGTAGAATACTTGTAAATAAATGTAATAATATACAAAGTTACTAACACATACTCTGATATGACATCAATAAGTTGATGCATGAGAAATCCAATAAATCCAACTGAGAATCCAATCATTCCCATCATCACCCAACGGTCCCAATCAAGACGTGATGGCTGCTGCTTTAGCCAGTTCTAGAATCAGCCAAAAAAAAAAAAAAATCCAAGTGAATAAATGGAAACATGGCCATCCCCTCAATTTTTTTTTTTTTTTTTTTTACATCCCTGTTTCTCCTATAAAAGCAGGTTGGTTAATCTTCCTTGTGTTCTCCCTTATTAATGGTTTGTTACCCAGGAAATTTCTAATTTCATAAATCAAATGTGATTTCTGTTAAGAAAGAAATTAAAGTCCCTGGCTACATGTTTTATACAAAATACTGAAAAAGTAAAGGTGTTCAGAACTTTAAAGACAGTGTAATTTTTTTTCTATATTTTCAAAAACAAAGGGTTAATTGAGCTGTCAGATGTGAAACATCTTAAAGGGATGGCCAAATTAAAATTTGCAAAGCAAAGGTGTGTATATATATCTTATTAACCAAGTGTGAGGGCCGTACTGGGAGAATATCGGCCCGAGGTCTTGATAGTACGGACCGAGCGCAGCGAGGTCTGTCCGAAAAAGACCGAGGGCTGATATTCTTCCAGTACGGTCCCGTTCT